TTAAGGATAGGAATGTTTTTTTTTTTTTCTTCCTCTTTTTCTGAAAACCCAGATCCCCCGCAAATGCGGGCGTTTTTTTTTTTTTTTTTTTTTTTTTTTTTTTTTTTTTTTTTTTTTTTTAAACCAAGTAGCAATCTTAGTAGCAAATCTTGGTAACAAATCTTTTAAGATTTATCGAACTATAGGCAAAAAACAGTTTGATATTCTCTAAATGATGATAACCAATATATTTTTTTTCGATTTTTTTATGGGCTCATATTATAGATAATAACCGCTAGCATAAATTAATTAAGGATTCTCTCAAACAAACCTAAAAACTAAAGGAATAAAAAAGTAAATTATCAATAAAGTAAAGGAACTTCATGAAAACAAACCTTCTTCTTGGACTCCTACTTCTACGTCTACGAGAAGAACGACAATCTTTTGCCCAATGACCTAATATTTAATAAATTATTAATAAAATATTTAAGAATACTAATATCAGTAATGATATATGATAATAAATATCCACCTTCTCGACCACATTTAAAGCATTGATTTTCAGCTAATATTACAATGGATTAAAATGAATTATAATGAACATTGTGTGAGTATCAAAATTAATAATAATAATAATAAAAAAAGAATAGAAAGAATAAAAATGAAAAATTATATATACATATATAAATACCTGGCTTTTTTCCACCATTTTTGGCCCACTCAACAACAATTCTGTTGCCGCGTACTCGCTAGAAATTAAAAAGTTCGAATTGAATTATGATTGCAAGTTATGAAACGAGAAATGTAAATAGTTTTCTTCTTTTACAAACCATGCCGTCGGTTTCTTTCAGTGCATCGGAAGCATCTCTTTGGTCTTGGTATTCAACAAATGCATAACCTCTCTTAACTTCCAACCGATTCAGGCGCCCATATTTATCAAAGATATGCTCGAGATCTCGGGGGTGAGTATCCAGTGCTAACCTTAAAAAAAAAAGAAAAGGAAACCGAAAAAAAACAAAAAAAAAAAAAGAGAATGTGAATAACCAACCAACCCATACCTTTTTGATAACATCATTATTATATGTACATATATTACCTTCCGATGAAAAGCGCCATTACTAAACTACAAAATAATAAAAAAAGAAATGCAACAATTCAACAGTTTTTACAAAGTCGCAAAAAAAAATTTTATATTTTTATTCAAACTTGAGAACCAATAGTTAAAAGAGAAATTCAATCACATGCATATGTGCTGGCTCCACTAATTTTATTATATCACATAAGTGGTATCTGAGAAAATATATTGTTATATGGTGCCAGAAAACAATAAAATTGCATCACTTAAAAATCTTATCAACACCATTCCTGTTTCATTTATCAGTCTTTAATAATACTATTGAACTTTTCTTAAATCAGATATATCATAATATAAATGTTGAATATACATGCCTTTCATTTCTATCACAAATCACATTTTATATGTCAAAAAATAAGTTTCATAATCACAAAGCTAGTGGTGGGATCCAGATATCCGTATATCCACGAACGGATATTCGTGAAGCTTTACCACGGATACGGATATCCGTAATTAAACATCCGCGGATATCCGAGGATATCCGAATATATCCACAGATATCCGTATTTATCCGTAAATATATCCGTGGATAAAAAAAATATTTCGCGTGATATAATTAATTTTTTTATAGCAATATACATATGAATCGAAAATAATCATCGATGGTTGCTACATATAAACTCTTTATTTTAATAAGTAAATGTCAAAACAAGTACTAAGTAACCTTAAAGACAAGAACCATTTACGTATTATATTAAAATAACAGACCTATATCATCAAAATTAAGAGAATTATTAGCTGTTAAATTTCGAACGGGCGAAAAATTTTATATAATAATTGCTCGCTCGATTTTGAAGTTAAACGTCTGTCCTTCAAATATAATACGCAATTCATTCTTATCTTTGAAGTTACTTAGTACTGTTTTTGACATTCACTAACAATATAAAGCGTTTATATGTAGCAACGATTAACGATTTTGCATATAATTATGTTATTATTTTTATAAACACTCCCCTAGCAAAAGTATTTGTGGAATGATAAAATTCAAAAATAATTGCTAAAATTAAAATGCTAATTGTGGCACAATGAGTAATCTAAATTGCACAAACTTTTTTTTATTAGATTCCCCTAAACTAGAGCTATCATATGATATATTTTGTGATAAAATTGAATGTCTATATACAGAGAAATTCTACTTCAAATAAAATTAACAAAAATAATAAATTTAATCTTTACAATATTTACAATGTTTATTATTTGTACTTTTTATAGTATCTAGTAAAAATTTTGACATAAATTAGATGTGTATAAATTTATTTATTTATTTATTTATTTTAGCAAACTGGTATGATCTCATATAGTTTCCTATAAGTATCACAAAGAATATGGTGAAATTGCATTAGCTAATCAACAATACGACTTAATCTACTACTATATAAAATTAGATTTTACAATTAATAAATTTTAACGGTTACAGCCCCACTAATATCTATTCTTAATAAATTAAAAATAAACTTGTAAATTAAGATATCTATCTGTAATGTGTAATCTATTGCTATATTTAGAATATGGTCTTTGGTTTTTCTATTTGATTTTTTTTTATTTTTTATAGGTTTCATTTTTTTTCCTTATTTTTTATTTTTATTTAAGACTTCTTCAAGTTTCTTTTTTATTTCTTTTGGCTTATTTGTTTCTTGAGTTTGATTATTTCTCTCTAACCATAATTCATAAAGTTTCTTCATTGTGATTTGGTATATTTTGAGAACTTTTTCTTTAGCTGTTTTCCTATCTGACTTTGCTATTGCTGCTATTTGGTCAATTAGTTATTTAGATATAAGTCCTTTTATTATATTACTAAGGCTGAATTTTGAATCTCTTGCCATTTTCCATGTATTTATTCTGTTTGGATCAAAGGAGTATAATTTATTTGTTATTATTTTTTTCCTTATAAATTTTTTAATTTTATTATAATTGATATTAAGTTTTCTAAGGTGGCTTTTAATTGTATTAATCTATATTTGTTTAAAATTTTCTTTATTATCTTGACATGTGAAGAAGTGAAGTGTTGATTCTGTTTGTGTTTTACATCTTGGACAGTTAGGTTTGATATATTTCTTCTTTGAGGTTATTTAATCTTGAATATGTTGGTAATTTATCACATATTATTTTTATTCTAAATGTTCTTAGACTTTGGTCTATACTTGATGTTTCTTCATTTGTTAGTTTTAAGTGAGTTAAAGCTTCTTTCGTTGCATTCCAATCTTCTATTTTTTCTATATTTCTATTGAAGGATTGGATAAATCTAAGTTGTGTTTTCCAATTGATTAGGTTTTGAATATTAGTGATGTCTTTGGTTAATTCTTGTATGAGATTATCTAAGAATTTGTTTTCATTTTTTAATTGATAGTTTTTTATGAATTTATATTCATAGTTAAGATCTACTATCGTTTTACTTGTTGTTCCTTTTTGAGCTAGTTCATCTGCTTTATTGTTTAGGAGTATTCCTGTATGTGCTTTTATTTTAGTTAGTTTTAAGTTTGTGTTTTTCTCTGTTATTGTATCTTTTATTACTAGTAACAGGTTCGAGTTTTTATAGATTTTTTAGCATTTCCTTTGTTTGGGGTGGACGAAATTAGTTATTGAGTCTATTGAGCTTTTTGAATTTGTGAAGATTTCTATATTTGAGTTATTTGGAATTATTGCTATAGTTATTGCTATTACTGTTAGTTCTGCCCTTGTTGATGATAGTGGACCTGTTGTTTTTCCATTTAATTCTTTGATTATTTCATTTGTAGCTTGGTTTATTAGGACTATTCTATATCCTATTTGTATTTGTTATTTTGTTAGAGTTTTGCTGTTATAAGTTTTTTTCATTGATCCATCGGTATATGCTATATAATTTTTTATATTATATTTATTAAGGTTATTGTATATATGTAGTAGTTCTTGTTTTTTTTGTTCTACCAATGCGAATGGAAATTAAAATTACTATTTTTACTCTGCTTTCTTTTTCTTGTGTGTTGGTAATTAGTTTCGTTTTCCATTTTTTTATATATTACTTTGTCAATTGAGTTAGGAAAGTAAAAAAGGTATCTTTCTTTTGATGATTTTTCTTTTGATTCAATTTTGTATGTGCCTTCTTTTGATAGTTCAAATATACATTTTATATTTTTATAATTTTTTATTTTGATTTTTTTTTTTTCCTTTTTAATTTTTTTAATATTTTTTCTTGTTTTTCTGTTTTATATTTTATAGGTTTCATTTAAGTAACATCCATTGCATGGATTTGTTGTATAGTAATTCAGTATATTTTCTTGATTTGTGTATATATAATGTTCTATTGATATGTTGTTACTTTCATTATCAGGTGTTTTAAGTATTCTTCCAATTGTTAGTTCTTGTGAACATTGGAGATTAATATATTTTGCTACTATTAATTTGTTTTCTTCTCATTGATTGTTTATGTTTCTTCAAGAGGTTGAAACTAATTATTTAGTAGGCATTCTTTGTCAATATTTATTTGATTATATCAAATTTTTCTTTTATTATTTTGTACCAGTTTGGAATTACACCTCTTTTGGAGTATTCTGTTATTTGGCTCCAGCTTCTTAACTTGATATAATTTGGATTATTATTTATTAGTTGTTCTATAAAAATTATGTTGTCATTTTTTAATTGACTTCTCATTTTATTATATTCTTTAAGTTCGTTTATTGTTCCTTCTATTGTAATTTGCCTTCCTTGTATTGTTACTGAAATATTTCCAGGTTTGTTGATTATTGTCAGGGGTTACATAACATAAATAAAATTGAGAATAAAGAATGAATTTAAATTTAAAATTTTTTAAATGAAAAAAAATAAATTTCAATATTTCAAAAATTTATCTGTATTTGAGCAACAAGTATAAAAAACTATTTAGTTAATTATTCCATATCTGCTGTTATAATTTAATGAAATAATAGTTAACAAATACTGAATTATAAATTTTAAATTATATTAAAAGTTGTAGCATTCCTCCTTAGTAATAGGGATTACAATAAACACTTGTAATTTAACTTAGATAAACAGTAGTTGGTGTGTTTGTGTCTTATCCAATTTTCTAATTGCAATTAAATTACATTCCTAATCATCTGATCACTTGAATTCTTGATAGTTCCATCACCAAAAATGAAAAATATAGAGTAGTAGTATTTTTTAGTGATTGATTGATGAATCACGTGGATCATCTGGATCTTATTTTTTAGTATAGTATGATGGGTTTACGATTGGAAGGTAACTAGCATTGGGCGTGCTTCTGGCACAGGGATTTTTTTGTTATTTATTTATTTTTCTTTTCTTTTTTACTATTTTTATTATTGTTTTATCTTATTCACACATGAATCCATCTGTTTGTTTTTACACTTTTGATTTGTTGTTATTTAATTTTGCATTAGAGTTTCTATTTCTAATTTTGCACATTCAGTTGTAGTTGTTATGACATTTATTGCATGTGTAACTGCAATTAATAAATATGGAAGAATATTAAAATAATATTTAATATCGGTACTGTATTTCATTTTATTTTATTATTTTTACTTATATGAATCATTTAATTTTTTCTACAACATAATTTGTATATAAAAATAAAAAATAAAAATAAAAAACAGGTTTCTAATTCAAAACAATTATAAAATATTGAAACTTATTTATTTGTTATTTTAAATTTATTCGTATATCATATTATTTTACTGTATTTTATTAAACTAATTCTACCATAAAAAAATTTGTGAGTATTTAATTAAAGAAAAATTCATGTTTCAATCCGTTTGTAGCCAGCTAATTAAAAACAAATATCCAAGACTTTCATACTTCTGAACAGTTTTAATTAGTCGCTCAAAGGAAGTTTAGTTTGATGTAAAATGGAACTGTAAAAAAATTTGAGAGTATTTGTATTAAAGAAAAATTTGTATTTCAATTGGTTCATAAGCCAGCTTAGTGAAAACAAATATTCAAGTACTTTCATACCTTCCGAACAGTTTTAATTAGTCACTCAAAGGCAGTTTACTTTGATCAATGTATAAAAAATTCGTGAAAATTTGTAATTAATGAAAAATTCGTATTTCAATCCAGCCTAGCGAAAATAAATATTCAATTACTTTCATACCTTCTGAACAGTTTTAAATAGCTGCTTAAAGGAAGTTTACTTTGTCCAATGTATTTGAAATTACGTCTCAAAGCTCTAGATGTAAAACAAATTCGTATTTCAATCAGTTCATAAGCCAGATTAGCGAAAACAAATATCCAATTACTTTCATACCTTCTGAACAGTTTTAATTAGTCGCTCAAAGGCAGTTATCTTTGCAATTACATCTCAAAGTTCTGGATGTAAAATGGAACTGTAAAAAAATTTGTGAGTATTTGTAATTAAAGAAAAATTCATATTTCAATCCGTTCATAAACCAGCTTAACGAAAACAAATATTCAAGTACTTTCATACCTTCTGAACAGTTTTAATTGTTGCTTAAAGGCAGTGTACTTTGTCTAATGTATTAGAAATACGTCTCAAAGTTCTGGATGTAAAATGGAACTGTAAAAAAATTCGTGAGTATTTGTAATTAAAGAAAAATTCATATTTCAATCGGTTCGTAAGTCAGATTAGCGAAAACAAACATCCAATTACTTTCATACTTTCTGAGCAGTTTTAATTAGTCGCTCAAAGCCAGTTAACTTTGACCAATGTGTTAAAATTAGGCTACAAAGTTCTGGAAGTGTAAAAAATTCGTGAGTATTTATAATTAAAGAAAAAATAAAATTTCAATCTGTTTGTAAGCCAGCTTAGGAAAAACAAATACAGTATTGAAGTACTTTCATACCTTCTGAACAGTTTTAATTAATCGCTCAAAGATTTTTTTTTCTCACAAATGTTAAAATAAGAAACCTGCCATTATATTTTTTTCAATCATACAATAAGTATAAATTTTATTAAAAGTCAAATGATGTAACTGTGAAAAATTATAACAATAGTTAACACTTTTCTAGTAAGCATGTGAACTCTTTATCCTTCCCACTAAGCCGAGAGGGAATCTGATTTTCCAATTTTCACAATGTTACTGGGAAAATTTTACCATGCCAAAGCTTCTCTAGAGGCTTTGTTACCTTTACTATTCGAAAAGAGGTTAAACACAATTATTATCATTATCCTCAAGAACAAAAATCACGTTACAAAATTTAAATATTCCTCATAAAAGATAACCAATAAAAATGGTATCACGGAATCTGAAACCTACCAATCAAAAGTCTTTTAAAGGCGATTTACTAATAGTAGAGAAGATATAGAAAATTAAATTTAGTATAGTACGGCACGGCAATAATCCCCGAAATTATACATACATACTTTATAAATAATAATATATATAATAATAATAGTATGTACGTATAATTATATGAAATAAAATTTAATTATACTAAAGATAAGTGACATAATTATTTGCCTCAATAGTAATTCTGGCCGTGATGCCGTAATTATGTCAATGTAATTATATATAAGTCGGCAATAATTATCGATGGTTATTATATATAAAACTTTTTATTTTAAAAGTAAATATTACAAATATTACTAAATAACCTTAAAGATAAGAATTGGTTACATATCATATAAAAAGGACAGGCCTATATCTTTAAAAGTGAGCGAATAATTTGCGGTTAAATTTCGAACGGGCGGAAACTTTTGAAACGACAATAATTCAATCAATGACAATATAATGTGTAATTAATTTTTGTCTTTGAGTTTACTTAGCACCATTTTTAATATTCGCTTATAATATACAAGTTTTATATGTAGCAACGATCGATGATTTTGTATAATTGTGTTATTATTATTATAATTATATATAAAAATAATAAAAATAATTATAACTAAATCGTCGATCGTTGTTGCATATAAACCTTTTTATATATAAGTGAACGTTAAAAGAATACTAAGTAACCTCAAAGACTAAAATTAATTGCACATTTATTAAAAGAACAGACCTATATCATTAAAATTAAGCGAATAATTGTTGTTTCAAATTCTTTCGCCGTTCGAAATTTATTCGTTACACGTTCTCTCAATTTTTAAGATATAGGCCTATCCTATGTATATAAAATGTAACCCATTCTTATCTATAAGGTTATTTAGTAATTTTTTTGATATTTGATTATTAAAATTAAAAGTTTTATATGCAGTAACCATCGACAATTATTTCCGATTTTTATATATAATTACATTGACATAATTACGGCATCACGGCCAGAATTACTATTGCAGCAAATTATTATGATATTTATCTTTAGTTAGTATAAAAAACTTTTATTTAACACTTATATACGTGCATACTATTATTATAATTATATTATTATTCGGGGATTATTCTAATCGTACATACTAAGTAATTCCAATCGTACTCCCAAACTATACTAAAAATTCGTAATCGTACTCTGTATATCTTACTATAATAATTTAATAAATGAATGATCTGCATTCAGAAAATTAGAATTTAATAAATAAATAAATAATATGGCGAAAAATTAGAACTTCTTAAATAAATAATCTGCAAACAGAAAATTATTTTTATGAAAAATTGGAATTTTCGTGGTCTTTTCAAATGTATTTCTCTTTTGAAACAATTCCAGCCTTTGTGTGGGCATTCATAACTGCCTATGTTATTTATTCGATTATTAATCGAAGATTAAGTAAAGTAAGTCTTTTTTTTTTTTTTACTTTTCTGTCACATAATATTTAGTTTTTTTAACGTAACATTATAATGTAATTAACAAATAAGATAGCTGGATTTTGTGATTTAATTAGTTAAAGATCAATTGTATCTTTCATTAGCATGAGTTTTTAATTTACGAATATCTTTTTTTCTTCAGAATGATCCTCCAATGGTTCCTTATAAAATTCCAATAATCGGCCATACAATAGATTATTTATTTAATGCCGAAAATTTTTTTGCAGAATGTAGACAAAAAGTAATAATTCATTCTTAATAATCACGATTAAAAAAAAAACAAAAAACAATAAATTAACAAAAAAAAATTTGCATGCGTAGTACGGTGATCCTTTCAATATATATGTATTTGGTCAGGTGATTACTATTGCAGGAAATGAAATTGCTCATGAAGTTTTTAGGTCCGAAACTTTTAGTTTGCCCAACGCTATGCTAGATGTAAATAAACTTACAAATAATCAATCAATTATTTCAAACATTAAATAACGTATTCATTTTAGATATTATATTTGTTATATTATTATATATTTTATATTGTCCTTAGTTATTTCCTTTGCAGCGTGTTTTAAAAAGCTTTGGCGATCCTAAAACGGCGGAACAAGTAGTCAAAACAATACGTGAAGGAATCACCGCGAAATTACCTTTATATACTAGAAGATTGCAAAGGCAACTTATGTTTTCTTTTAATAAGGAAATTGGAGATTGTTCTAGTAAGTCACTTTATTCTCCTTGGTTTATTTATTTATTTTTTTTTTTTTGAAATAATAATAACGATAATAATTATTAATATTTTATTTGTTTAGACCCTAAATTTGTTATCACAGCGAAAGAAAATTTCTCAAGCATAATCGCCCGCCCAATCGCTGATATTTTGGTTGGACAGGTAAGATAAATTGTAAATTATCAATATGGAATAATATATTAATATCTTTAAATTATATTAAAGGAAATATCAAAAAACGAAGACGTGGTCAAAGCTTTTGCTAATTTTACTAAAGATTTTGGATCAATTCTCAAAATACCTCCCATTCTTTCATTCATTCATCCGAAAGTCCATACCCAAATTATCACTTTACCATTTAGATTTGGGTGGAATCCAAAAGGAAAACATGTGATCACTTTCAAGAAATATTTGAAACCTGAATTAGAGAAAAGATTGAAAGATAAAGAAATTCTTGGTGATAAATATGAACCACCTGTGAGTATTAAAAAAATTTTAACATAAATTCAACATTTTTAAAGAAAATTAATTATATTATAATAATAATAGCTGGATATAATTGAATATTTATTGAATAATCCGAATACGAAACAAAAGTTATTACTGATGATTACTTGAATAAAATCTGTGAATTACATATTATTTATTATTATTGTTGCCACTATTCTTACCACTTCTCGTCATCTTACTGGTGCTCTTTATGGTAAAAAAAAAGATATTTTATATTCATTAAATTATTTTCATTTTATATAATTATCTCTCACTTTATAATTAATATTATTTTTATGCTTTAAAATAGATTTTGCGGGAAGACCAGAATTATGGGATGATATTTATGAAGAACAAGTAAGAATTAATAAAGAATGTAATGGAGAATTATTACCTCAACATGTTGACAAAATGGTGAAATTGGATAGTTTTGTGAGAGAATCTTTAAGGACTTTTGATTCTGTGGGTATGTAAATTTTTATAATTATATATATATATATATATATATAAATAATAAAGAATATTAATGAGAATGTTATCTAAAAAATAGCTGGCTCTCGTCACAAATGCTTGGAATCATATACATTAAAAAATGGCATGACAATTCCAAAAGGTACAATTCCATTTTAGAAGATTTCTTTATTATTGTTTTTAATAATCTTTTCCATTTTATAATTTTGAAATATTAATGTTTTTTTTAAAAAAAAAAATAAAATATCTATCTGTCAGGTCGAAAAGTTCAAACTTATTTAATGGATATTCATTACAATACCACAGCATATGGACCGGAACCAAGGTCATTCCTTCCTTATCATGGTTTGGAAAATAATCTTCCTGCATCAAAAATTGACAAAAATTTTTTTCCATTTGGCTCAGGAAAGCATGTTTGCCCTGGAAGGTTGGTATTTTAAATTACTTGGTTAATTAATATATCATAATAATTTTCATAATTTTTGAAAATATTTGCTAATTAAAACTAAATTCATTTTTAAACAGATTTTTAGCTGTAAATAAAATTAAAGTTGCTTTGCATATATTAATTTTAAAATATCATATTAAGACACCAAGTGGGAAGACTGAAAAAAAGGTACGGGTTGCAGCTTTAGCTTTTCCGCCAGTTGCTGGATTAATTTTCGAGAATAGAAAAAATAGATAAAAAATTTCATTTATCTAAATCTTCTGAACTTTTGATTTTTTATTTTCTACAAATTTGTAAAGCATTTTAATTAATTATTATTTAAAATAAATATATTAATTTGATTTCAATCCAACTAACAAAATTTATTCCCATTATTTCATTACTTACCTTTGATTTTTGCTTTCTACAAAACAAATAAAAAATATCAAATCATATTGTTGTTCTTGTTAAATTCGGAAGAAAAAGAAAATATAAAGTCGAAAGATATTTCCCTTTAATTAATAAACATGATACAAATAATGAATATTTCAAATATTGACTTTTTGTTATTTCGTAAAATATTATTTAAATATCAACAGAATAAAATAAATAATGTTAAATTTATATAAAATAAAGTATAAAATATAATGGATGAATTATTTCTTTGGTGAAACTTTGGAAACCACAAATTCCTCAACTGAAAACCAACTTGTATTAGATCGAATTGATTTTTCATAAGTAGATGTCCAACAACTGCTTTCCTTCTCAGTTTTTAATTTTTAAATTTCAAAATATTAATTGCTTGGACCATAATGAATAGCAGAATAAAAGTAGTCACCCTGCTTATAATGAAATTTTTAAGATTTTTAGTTTTCAATGAAAAGACAAAACTATCTTGACTTAAACACCAAATTGTTTCATTATTATATCTCAAGAGGATTATAACCATTTTCGTCTGTACCTTCCACTTTTGTAACTATGATCATATTAGATACTTTATCACAAATATTATAATAATTTAGTATCAAATACATCTCTATTTCCCTTAACAAATAATTTAAATTCATATGGATTATTTTCAGTATAAGCTGCTTCTTTTCTATTAATCCATAGTGAAAGTTCTAAGACATGTTCATCAGTAGCAATATTAGAAGGAATTGGTGTAGTTCTAGTGGGAAGTGTTTTTTCGAGGTGGTAATATTGTTGAAGAGATTGGAAAGTTGTAGGTATGAGCAAGCTTTTCTAATACTCGTTCACATGAAATATTGAAATACCTAACATGGGGTTGAAAAATTTTAAAAGTTGTTTTTAAAAGTTATGAAATTATTGCTTGCATTTATTAAGGTTAGCTAGTAAAGTTGGATTCCTGGACCTTTCCCATTGATTTACGTAAAACCAAATTTTGTCTTTATCTAATTGTAAACCATTAGTTTAATAATAGAAATTAATGCATACTCGAAAAGAGAAATAATTTTTTTGACTCAAAAATAATATTAGGATGCTTGCAATGATATTATTATAAAATTTTTGAATAATATCACTTGATACCATGTTTGATAAACTTGAGCAAAATTTATGAAGCATTGTTGTAGTAACAAGTGCGTTTGGAGATGATCAAGTTCATTGAAGAAGTCAAGAGATCGAAAATAATTAATTTTTATACTTTCCAGTCCAGTCCAAATATTTAATATAACAAAAATTTTGCAAATAATTCCTAAATTTGTCAATTGACAAAAATTTTAGCAAATTCCTGACACAGTTTTTTATTTATAAGCATATCTATAAATCTTATTTTTTTCATTTTTAACATTGAATAAATCAATAGAATCAGGAGTTTGTAACTTGTGTAATTAAGGTTCACTTCTTAAATATGTGTCTTAACATATAAAAATTATTTGTTTTTAAATTATTAATCGTTCAATTAAAACTTTTTTAAAAAATTATAGAATAATGCTTACTTGATAATGATATTAAATACTTTAACAGAAATATTGGTGCTTCACCAACTTCAATTGTTACATTATAATCAATAAGATTTTCAGGTTAGTGAGGCATTTGATAAATAGTCAAAATTTTGTTGTCATTTTTTTATTATTTTTATTTAATGAATAAGAATAAATGGAACTTCAAAAAAAAACTAAATGCATCAATTTTTACTTTTGTATCACAAAGTTTATAAAATAAAAATAAATCAGGAAAATTGTCAAATGAACAAATGGCTAAACCTAAACATATGGGCCGATTTGAACTCATTTGATCTTGTAACATAAAATTTAAATTTTTTTTATTGGTTTTTTAGACGAATTTGATTAATTATTGCCAGTTGTGATGATACAATAATATAATCGAAGGATAATGCTGATCATATTTAATCATAAAACTTGATGATTTAAATTTTTCATGTTTTATTATGTTGTCAAAGAACATAGCAAATTGGTTGCAAATTGGTTTTCGAATCAGTTGCAAATCGGTTTTTGAATCAGTTGGAATCACTAGCCTATTCTTAATTTATACAAACTATAAATATTATATTTTTATATTTTTTTTATAATATTTATACGAAAAAATAAGTTCTTTTTGGATTTATTACTATAGATTTCAAAATAGTTTGAGGTCAAGTACTTAAAATAAAAGCTTTTATTATTTAATGGATTGAAAATCTTATTTTCTTATTTTTATAGATTTTATAGAATACAATAGATATAAATAACATAGATATTGATATTTATTTCATCTATTTTTATTTATGATGCCATTTGGATAATGTGAATAATAGCCAATAATAATTTATTTTCAAGATATCACCTATGTGATATAAAAATATTGAGTGGGACTAAATCAGCAATATAATAGATAATATAATTTCACGTAAAATATAGATGTGAAGTGATTAATGCAACAGGTAAAATAGACAAAATAGATGAGGAAGATGTACAGAAGAAATCTATTGCAGATTGGATTGTTTCTTTTTCAAGAGAGTGGAAACATGCCATGCAAAGGTTCTTCAAATAACTGAAGCATACTTTGAAAGCTTAAGAGTCTTTGAAAAGGTCAATTAATATTTGCTTTTATGTAAAAAATATAATAAAAAGTTCTGGAAGCGTAAAAGAATTCGGGAATATTTGTAATTTTAAAGAAAAATTCATATTTTAAGCCGTTCATAAGTCAGCTTGGCGAAAACAAATATTCAATTACTTTCATACCTTCTGAACAGTTTTAATTAGTCACTCAAAGGCAGTTTACTTTGATGAAAGTGTTAAAATTATGTTATAAATTTCTGAAGGTATAAAAAAAAATCTATGTATTATTCTTGAAAAAACATCAATATTTCTTTGTATCTGCAAAGCAAGTATAGTGAAAAATCAATTGATGAAGCTAAGAAGCAAATAAACAACATCAATTGATAATTTAGTACTAATAATTTATTAAAAATTTATTAGAAATGATCGTCACAAATTAAAATGTTTTTTTTCTCATCATGATGATCTCATCCTTCTTTGCTAAGCCGAAAAGGGAAGTAGATCTTCTACACTTCATTGATTCTCATAATAACGTGACACTACCAATACATCCAATCAGAAACGTTAAAGCGTACGCTAAATAATTTAGAATTTTCTAATTTTCTAACGAAATTATTCATAAATTGCATTAGTAAGAAAAATATAAATAAATATCTTTAAATATTTAAGACATTTTTCTTTACGAAAATGAATATTTATGTTTAAATATATTAATAAATAGAAATATTCGTGTCAAACATCGTTAATACTTTGATAAGATCGTCAGTATAAGGAGTTCGTTAAATTTTTTATGGTATATTTCACTCAACAGAAGATTATCATTAAAGCATATGTAGCTCAAATATATTTAAGTTGCAATCTGTGAACGAATGGCGCGGTAACACTATTATATACATTTAAGTTCAAAATTTACATTTTTTTCACATTTTAGAATCAATCATACATTTAATTCTTAATGTTGTGTTGTCTCCAATAATATAATCTAATTGAAATTGATAAAAAAAAATTATTATTAAAATTAATCTTGATATCTTCATTCTTTAGTAAGGTTAAAAATTGACTTTAATAATGAAAAATTAAATGAATAATTATAAAAGCAAAGTAACTGAATAAATTACTTCACAAGCATTCTTTAATCTTTTACACGTCAATATTTTTTTTATAGGCAGGTTACTTTAAAATTTTTTTTCGTATGTATATTTATTTATTACACGACACAAGCATATTGGAATTATGAATGAAAAGGCTAGCCAAACATTTTCTGACAAAACATATGATGCATATTTGATGATTGTAATGGTATAAGATCAAAGGTCACTGATATGATGTTATCTATTAGATATATCAATGATCCTTCTAAACGAATTATATCTTTTGGACGGTCACCTCATTTATTGGCTAATTTTTTTTTTAGTTCATGATACGTTACGTGAGTTAAATGCAGATCATGAGTAATATTATTCGTTGACAATAAATATAATAATTACTACACTTTTTATTCAATTTGAGAATCTCGCGATTCCTAGAAAATCCATATCCAATTATTGAATATATCTCCAATTACATATTGAATAATGAATAAATATCAATCTTCTTTGGTTTACTTTGGTTCTTGAAATAAGAATTGACATTTTTGACCCATTTTTCAAAATAAAAATTATTTAGTTATTGAAAAAAGTTGTATCAAAATTTTTTGTGACAATCGTGAATTATTAAATAATGATGATCTCGATTCTCAACGCACATATGATTTGCTATAAAAAAAATAATGGCCAATAAAGTGAAAATATCTAGTTACAGTTGCACGTAGGCGTAAGTGTTCCTTATTGGGAGTTTTATACAGTAGATTTTATTGCCGAAATTCGATTGTAAAGTTTAAAAAATTTACCCAATACGGTTTCTTCCTCTTGCATAGTTTGATCGTATTTAACTAAATTTAGCAAATAACTAATTAATAAAGGTAGTTACTTTTTAGGCAAATATTTAATTATAATGGTTGACAATTTAAACGGTTCAATGATTGAGCAGTAATTTGATCTCGCATAATGTTTATTAAATTGACTAAATTTGGGCAAATAATTAATTATAATCGTTTCCAATTTAAAGGAGAATAAATGAAAGACATATGTAATTGAATGATTTGTATGATTCGTTATTTTGATTCTTGCTTATGTTTGACCTCTAAAAATGAATATTTAAATAAATAAATTTAACCAAATTAAGGCAAATATTCAATTATAATCGTTGGCAATTTAAAGGTTTTCCTTTGAACGATTTGTTATAATTGAATCTTATCTAACTAAATTTAGGCAATATTTAATTATTAATGGTTGCTAGTTTAACGATTTATCTTGAGGACAAAAATTACAAATAAATATTACACAAGTATTGGACACCTTATAAAAATGCTCGAGATTTTGACTCATTGCAGCATTATTTAGAAACGAAACAATCTTATTAATTGACATTAGATAAAAAAAAAATTTTTATTTCTTTCTCCGTTGGCAAAAAAAAAATGACAAAAATCACCTCAGTTCTTGCATTAGTTGGTCTAGTGTTTTCTTGTCTCAGCTTAATTACTCAAGCCGAATATGATCCACCCACTTCTGTCGGAAATCCTGGTAAGAATTTGTTTTTTTAGACGTTCGAAATGCCGTCAGATACTTATTATCATTATTCTTTATATCGAAAAATCAAAACAGAATTTCCTGAGGATCTGGTGATCCCACCTGAAATCGCAGTTGATCTCGATAAAAATAAATACGCTTTCTCATTGTGCCCTATAGCAGTGGTTCAATATAAATGCGCGGCTGCTGGCTGGGAGTTTGGTATGAAAATTATTTCTTCGCATGACGCTTTTCAATTGTACGAATATAAATATTTACTATTTAACTTAACATTCCAGTTGGTCCACTTGGAGTTCTCGTCAATGATTGTAAAGACTTTAAAGAAGTCATTGACCATCCTGACTTTGTTACCGCGGTATCACTTTTTGATACTCAAACTTGTAAATATATTTTGTCGCCTTCAAAACTACTTTCTTTCTACATTTAACCTAAGCAACTAACTCTTACAAATGCTTAATAATATAGCAAGTACTCCCTCTGGAGGGTTCAGATCCGCAATACCAAGTGACACCTCGTCATCTCTTTTTAGGGTCGAAACAACTGTAGATGCACCAAATCCTTCCGAAGATAATGCTTGGCTTAGATCTGTAGCTTTTGTAAGATATTAATTATTATATTCTTAAGTTCATTTTAGTTATCACAAACTCTTAACACATTTCTCTCGGTTCATTTTATTATAGGGTCAAACTGGGACAGGCGCATTTTCAGATGTGACCTATCTTCAAAGAGTCAATACCAAAGGAGGAATTGCACCATCGCCTTCTCTATGTAAGTTTGCATTCACGTGATTATAATATATATATATCGAGGAAACAATTCTAAAATTTGACTCATTTTATTCGATAAATTTAATAGGCAATTCCACCAACAATGGATATGTCTACTCTTCACGTTTCAGCGCTATAATTTTATTCTATAAGAAAAAATAATTAATGGGAGAACCTGCTTAATAAATTGAATCTTTCAAATTTATAGAATACATAGATATATATATATATTTATACAACTTTAATAATTCAAATGAACAATATATTTGTATTATTCGTGAATTTAATCTAATTTTCTTTAAATTCTTTTTTTTTTAAATTTTGATATAATGTAAATGGAAAATATATCAATAATAAATCAGGATCATTATTTTTTAGTTTATCTATTTATTTATTTGTTAATTATTTATGCATATCTATTATTTATATCAGTTATTACTACTACTTTTTATTCTCTATATTACTATACTAAATATTATTAACAGAATGGATTATATTTGATTGTAATATTATTTTTATGCGTTGTGATAAACTTAAAAATGAAAAGAAGAACATAAAGAGCAACACAAAACGACAACATAAATAACAACACAAACAGCAACGACATAAAAGTATATTTTTAAAATGTAATAAAAGTAAATAAAAGGCAATAATCTATAGTTGATAACGTTCGCAAATTATTTTTTGGTCAAGTAATTAAAAATCAAATGTTAATTCTTGAACAACGTACAAAAAAATAGATGGGTTTTTCTGTGACAGATAAAAGGTATCAAATAGGGTTTTTGACATGCTTTGTCCCGGGATTTATAATAAAAATTGATATTCGACAATAAACTATCCAATGCGACATGCTGCAGGTGTTATAAAAAACAAATCCTTATTATTATATTATATATATGAGAAGAAAATATACATTTTAGTTATGACTAATTGATTAAAACATGAAACCTTCCATTTTGAGAATTTCTGTAACTTTAATATGATTGGCACGTGAAATAATATTTCTCAATTTTTATAAATACGTAATGATCTGACATCGAGTAACGGTAATGTGTTCGGTTAATTTTACTTTGTATTAAAGAAATATATATTTTAAAAATTCAAAATAATAAATAAAACTAAAAAAAAAAAATTTATAGTGATCCTGCAGAAAATTAAAATTTAGTTTTAGGCTCACAAAAATTTGTTAAAATAAGAAACTTGAGACGTATAAATTTCGGACATTTTCCGTACTCGAAATTTATATTAAAAAAAAAATAAGGATAAAAATATTAAATTTAATGAATAATTTGATAATAAAAAAAAAAAAAACAAAAAATATATAATTTAATAATAAAATAAACAAAATAAATATAAAAGATTTAGTTGTGAAACTGTGAACTTGAATTTGAAGGACCAGAAATTACAAATTCTTGATCATCTAAAAAATAAAATTATAATTTAGAAACAATAACATAATAATTGAATCATATCATATCAACTACCACGTGATTTATTTGAATTATCAGCCCCAATACTTTCAAGATACTGTTGTTGCATTTCTAGAATTGTAATAATAGATAAATTTAATTATGTTTTATAAAAATTTCATCAATAAAAAAATAAAATAATTTACCTTCAGTAATTTCAAAATCAATTTGTTTAGAATCAAATGCTAAATCTATAAACACTATATTATTTTTAATAAGAATTAAAATAGATTTAATAGGAACAAAAAATTAAGTAAACTTACCTAGTTGTTCTTAACAATGAATTAATAATAAATAAATAAAAAATAAAATGAATAAGAAAGGAGTCAATATAAAATATATTTACTTTTAGTGGCATTTCTAGGTTTAATTGGAATGTTAAATGTGTATATTTTACTATTTTGCATTCTGTATATTTACTTTTTATATTTTTGCTTAATTGTGTATTTAATACTTGATTACTTTTATCCTTTTTGGATTTTGATTTAATAAATTTTTGACTTTTGATCTTAAATTTTGAGATTGAATAATTTGTTCTTGTTGTTTATCCATTTCATTGTATATTAACATTATTGATGATTCTATTTTTTTATTAATTGTACATATATGCATCAGATCTATTATCAGGATTAGCATCCCAACATTGTTTCATTAAAGTTGTATATTCATGTGGAATATATTCACAAATCTTTGGTTGACATCCTTTGACTATATCAAGTGTTAATTTCAAATCATGTTCACAATCTTCAAATGGAGTTTCACTTCCCACATTAATATGCCCAAACTATATATATCTGATTTTGTTGTATAAATTTCACCACAGAAAACTTCAGGAGCAATGTATGGGAGATTCCCATAAATACTATTTGATGGCCCACTCAATCCTAAATCACTAATATGTCAGTAAACACCTAGTAGAATATTTCCTGGGTGACAAATCTCTGTGTATTATATTTTTTTTCTAAATTTTAAATAAAACCATTGCAACATAAGAAATATTTTGGTATTTTTGTAAAATGTAAGTGATTGATAATTATCTTTTAAAAAATGTCCGAAATCACTATCATAATGATTTAAAACTAACATATAATCTTGAGTGGTTGGATCTTTGGTTAGCCCGTAACATTTAACAAGCATTGAAGCATCAAGTGTGAAACCTATCGATTTTTTTGTAATTAAACAATTAATAATCTAAAATATTAAACAGGAATCAACAAATTTAATAATAATAATTTATCCTACTTCTTGAAAACAATGTATGTACATTATTACTATTTGAGTTATTCAAAACAGTCTTTTGTCTTCCAAATCTTTCCAATGTTTGTCTTTCGGAATCCCAATTAACATAGCATCCATCTTTCCAAATTGCTGTATAAATGGTAGCACATCCTCTTTCTGTCAGATGTTCTATATTCTCAAATCGATCATATTCAATCCATTTAATTACTCTATTAGGTTCTATAGTTTTTTGCTGACATTTTTGAATTAATTTATCAATTTCATTATTTCCAGATGTCCAATTTCGAAAATCATTTTCTAAATATTTACGAATACAAAATTCACAGTATAGGGTCGCTTGATGCCAATTCTGACAATTGTTGATCACTCAATTCTATATGCATCATATGATTTCTGAAATTCATTAAGTAAAAAATTCTTTTCATTTTCAGTGAGGGATGATCATCTTTAATCGTATTTTTTTGATACTCTTCTTGCTCAGTATTTAATTTATGAATATTGTGATGTCTAAAAAATATCCAGCTCCTTTTAATTATTCATTCCATTTAATTTCTTGAGTAGCCATTTCCTATTTCATTTAAAGTTAATTTAATTTAAATTAATAGATAATTAATTAATTAATATATAATTATTTTTTAATAATTTATTTACAAATAAGAATATTATATGAAATTACCGTAGGTTATGTTTTTAATAATGGTTAGTGGATAAGATTTATTTTTTAAATTGACTTTAATTATTTGTTATATGCGCAGGAAATTATACTAGGCAAATAATCTTGATTCAAATTTGATGAGTAGAGAATACGTTAAGCCGTATGAGCTATATTAAGTATAATATACTTGCACATACAAAATATAATTTTGTGCTGAAAATAAAAATAATTAAATAAAGGGAAGGAACGCAAAAGAGATAAAATTTTTTAAATAATCGGAAGTTGATATTCTACAGAAATATGTAACATGTTACGTAGAATATAAATCAAAAAAAAAATGACACGATATTTCGTTCAACTCGTCGTCGTCAAATATCAATATCTCGTCGTCTCCTAATATTCATTGTAAAATCAAATACTATTTCAAATGTTATTCCAAGTTCTATTCCAATAGTAAAATACTGACTCAATTTTACGGCAATTAATATAATTAAATGACAAATAATTTTACTAATAAATGATTATATAAATATTGATTTGAATTACGAAAAACGAACAGATAAAATGAGTTAGAAGATCATAATGAATTCTTTTATTTTAATATAAATTCTTCATTATCATTAACTAAACCATCAATTAAACAAGAAAAAGGAAAAAGTAAATTTTATTAAATTTGAATTTATAATTAATATATAATTAATAGGATTAATAATTTACATTAGAACCTAAATTTTGATATTTTTAACATCAATAATAAAATCAACAACATTGTGAAAACTGATATGAAAAATTAAAATGGAAATAATACTAATACTGATGATAACAAATTTTGGAATCCAATTTTATCATTATTCCAACATAATTATAAACATCATTATAATGATAAAATCATCATCATCGAAATAATTATCGTAAACGAATCAAAAGGATTATTTTTTAAATTTTATACGTTTATTTATTTTTGTATTTATTTGAATCGATCTTAATTTATATTATTATCTCTTTGTTTCTTTAGCAGATGTTGGCACGGTTTTCATTAGTGGACTTTCAGATAAAATTTAATAATAAATAAAAAGGTAATTTTTATTTATTTATTCTATATTATAATTATATTATATTCATTTTATATTCGAATTTTATATATTTTTTAGAATATTGCATTTACTGAATTCATTGAATATAAAGCTTATCAATATGTACTTTCACAAGCTTCATTACGTAATTTCAATGGATCCAATATAAAAATTTTGATGATTAATAAAATAACGTAACAAAGTATTCGAAAGCTTTAAAGAAACAATCCGTTAATAGTATTAATAATAGTATAGTAATGATTATGATGATGAAAAAGATTAACAAAAATTCCATAATAGTCATGAAGATGTGATAATAATTTAAATGAAGAACGTATAAAGAAAAGTATTAAAGCATTAGAAAATGTAGTTATAAGTATGAAAAAAGGGGTTAGAAAAATGTTAGTTAAATGTACTTTATATGAATAAGTAATTGAAAATAATAAATACGAATTCGTAACTTTTCGTGACCCCAGCTATTATAGTATACTTTATATACATACATATACAATATGATATTATATAATAGTGTATTAACAGTTTTATAGTATATTGTTATTTAATATTAATTTGTTTTAGATTTTTCTACATTTAATCGATTTAATTTATTAACCACATCAAATAAATTACTTTGAGGATAATTATCTAAAGTTACTCTGAAAATATAAGGAAATTTATCTTTAAAAATATTAAAAAAATGATCTAATAAATCATAATTAATGGCATTTGCTAAATCTTTTAAACATAAAGTACCAGGATTTTGTTTATTTTTTATGGATTCTTTTAGTCCTGATAATACCAATCCAACTCTACATAATAAAAAACATATTATAATAACATATATTTTAATAAAAGAAATTAAATTAGACAGGTAAAGATAAAGAAAGTGAATGAATAGAAAGTTTACTCACGTATCATCAATTGTTTGCCATCGAATATATCCAAAATTTTTTAAATCATCAGCAATTATATTCTGATAATTATTACTCCATTTAGTAAAACTTTCATTTAATTGTTGAGCAGTTAAATCGCCCTCTGTATAAGTATAACTTACTATATAATTAGATCCAATATTATGTACCCAATCTTTGCGTGTATTATTCAATGGACCTAACCAACCGTATAAACGACCAAACCATATAACAATTCTTTGATTTATTTTAATCATTTCTCTTAATGTTGGCCATTTAATAAGACCATCATCTCCTCTTTTTTCTTGTAGCATTAATGAATATCCAGATTCATTTACAAAATAATATTCTAATTTGTTTTGAATATAATTAGCTACAAATGTCGCATTAGGTCCATCATAATCACCAAATCCTAAATTAACGATTTCATTTGGATTATCTTCCATAAATTCTTTTATATCTAAAAATATTGAATCTAAATCTGCTCCTAACGCACGTGACGAACCCATTCCATGACAGAATACCACACTTTCATTTCCCACTTGACATGTATCAAGATCCAAAAATCTGATTCCTAATATAAAATAAATGTAATAGACCATATATAAATATAAATAGCATATATATATATAATATATATATAATATAAATAGAAAATATAATAAAAATATAGGCATAATTAATTATAAAATTAAGGATAATAATAATTGAAAATAAGCATAATATATAATAAATTAATTATATAATGAAAAATAAATAATAAATAATAAATTTACCATCTTCGAGTTGCCTTCTAATAGGATAACCATCATTATTTTCCCATAAACATTTTAAAGACCGATCAGGAACATCTTTTTTACAAACATGTCTTACTAATTCGCATGCATTTCTCGTTCTTTTACATACAGTATACCAAGCAGCACATAAAACATCACTCGTTTTACAAATGGCATTAAACAAATCAAAGGTCCAATGAAAATAATTAGGTTCCCAATTTTTAAAAACATTTGTTTGAATATCGCAACTTGCCGTTCGATTTTTACTACATGTTTCATATTGTTGGTTACATGAATTTGAATTGGCTCTACGGTAACAATCTTCGGCTAGTATATCACAATCATATTTTAGATTATAGGCTGCACTGTTATGAGTTCCAGCGAAGGTCTAAATTTAAAAAATAATTAATAAAATAAATAAAAAATATTTTAAGAATAAAAATTAATAAATTAATAAAGTAATAAATAAATTTTATTTAACAATACAATAATAAATAAATTAATATAGTAAATTTACCACTTGATAAAAATGCAAATCACAAATATCCGAATCTCCATTGCATTTTATTATATTATTATTTTTGTAATCAACTGCAGCAACAGCATCAACTATTATATTTATTATTATTAATAAATTTATTATATTTATAGTATTTATTTTATTTATGATATTTATTATATCGAAAATTTTGAATATTTTGAATCGGTTCATCTTCTAAGAGAATAACAAATAACAAATACATAATAAAATAAATAAATAAATATATATATCAACAATAAATAAATAATATTAAAATATTAAAATAAATAAATTTAAAATTATTAAATAAATAAATCGAAAAATTAAAATACAAATACAAGAAGAAAAAAAAAATATAAAAATTAAAAACTTACTTTTCGCAATAAAATAATAACAATAAACAAAGATGCCTTTATATAATTTTTAATAACAAAGAATATATAACAGAAAGACAAAATTGAAAAAATAATATTATTATAAACAATCTATTAAATGCGTTTAATAAATTCATTGCATTTCCCCCTTTTGACTCCCCATTTTGATTGATCCCCGCTTCACCAACATTATCACCAAGAAACATTATATGACTATGACTACTAATGCATGCAAAAAAAAAGATGTTCAATATATATTAACATATATATTTAATATATAATATTGATTTATGCATGAATGTTAAATAGTCGAGTCAAGTATGGAAAATTTATTAAATAAAAATACATAAATAAAAACACATGTATTTGTGTGATTAAACAAGATTATTGTTCATGTCGTTACACCAAAAAGATCGGTTTGGATTCCTTAAATTCCTTATAAATACAACTAGCTTTTAACAGGATTGACAACAACAACAACAAGTAGGAATTATGAATGGATTGTGACTAAACTTGTATTAAAATTTCCTATTTCTTTTTTTTGTTTTTGGAAATTCCCCACCCCTGTGATATATTTTATTACCTATTTATGTCAAAGTTAGGAGTTAGGGTTTTGTACGCGCTACTCAATTAGGGGTATTACATATTATTATCAAACATTCGATTTAAAACTATTTGTCACACTTATTTAAAATTAGCAATTCATTTTTTTACTTTTTTATATTACTTATATTACTTATATTACATATTAATATTTTAGTTTATTTTTTATTTTAATTGAGCAATTCTAATTATGTACTAAGATTATCTTTTTTTTATATATCGACACATCAAGTCGTTCCGATTTTATCCTTTTTTATTTTATTTTTCTCTCTAAAATATATGATGTAATAATGTAAAATTTGATAAGTCTTATACATTATTCTATACTTTATTCTAAATTTTATTCTATATTTTATTTTATTATTTTATTTTATATTTTTTTATTCTATATGTTTATTCTATATTTTATTCTGAATTTTAGTGTCGATCAATTCTCGTAAGTAATTGAATTATCATATAGGCGATACAAATAAATTAACAATATCGATGATACAATAAAATATTGCGATATAAATAAAATATGAAATTAATATAAAATTTAAAATTAAATGTAATTTCTTTATTTATACGATTTAAACTTATCAATATCTATTGAGTTATAAGTGATCGTGAAATAAGAGAATTCCCACATCAGGATTTTTTTTTGGCGTAAATCTTCGTAATATTACGACACCTACATTTTAAAACAGAATATCTCGGCAGATATCAGTATATAGGGATGGGATGAAACACAAGATTTTTCGATCTTCATAAGAATACTCTAATAGAAATTTAATCCCTGTCACGCAAATACGATCGAATTCGAATTTTTTTAATTTTTTTGCAAAATTTTTTTCTGGAATTTTTACGCCAAAAAAAAAATCCATTTTTTGAATTCGGTCACGATTTCTGAGACAGGGAGCGATTTTCTGTTAAGAAATTCTTATAACTGATCGAAAGCACTGATTTTGGGCTACAAGATCATGTGTTTCATCCCTATATCACTGATATCTGCTGAGGTATTCAGGTTTAAGGTCAAAACGTAGATGTAATATTACGGAGATTTACGTCTTAAAAAATTTCCCGATGTGGGAATTTTGATAATATTTCTGATTTCACGGTAAATAACTATCTCTTATATCACTTATAGACTTCATACTATTCACATATTATTATATAAAATTAGAGTTCTGAAGTTAATAACTTGTTTTTTATTATAAGATTTAGTTGTTAATATACCAGTATGGTTCTTGAGATTTTTGTAAGATAGAGTTGGCAAATTACATTTTGCATATTTAAAAATTATAGTAATTAAAAGACTGGTGAAAATATTAGATGTTATGGATTATTGGACCAATTGCATTATCTTTTTGTTTTAACCAAAAATTTTCCAATTATAAAAATTAACGTGTTTTATTAAATTTCTTGATTCGTATATTAAAGATACATGTACCTGCCGCAATTATTCACGAGAGTTGCATCTTTTTATATTACAATTAAGAAGTTGATCCAATTACTGGATGATCGTGATTAGATTCCAAAAAATGTGTTACAAAAATATTTCATACGAATTTAAATTTCTTTGGCGAGAAAGTATATATGGATTTGAAGTATCAGTATTTTATCAAAAATGTGATGATAGCATTAGAACGATTTTATTAATTAAATTGAGTAATATAATGGAAGTAATCTAAGTGGAAGTGAAAATGTGAATACTAGGAGAGGAAGGAGAGGAAATAATAATAGTACTAGGAAAAATTCTAATAATCATAAATTAAATGATAGTAATTTTCTAAATAGTTTCATTTTTTCATCTCATTTAAAGGAGAAAATTTAAGGAAAGAAGATAAATTAAAATGAATAAAAATTAAAGAAGCTATTTATAGTTACACATTAAATGAACGATGGAAGGAATGACGGGAAATTTTGGATTATCAAAAGGACTAGATTATGAAGTATTTCTTATATAATTGGTGATTTTTAAATATCTACTATTAGGTTGTAGAATAAAATAATAATTTAAATAAGATAGGTAATAAAAATTTTTTCTTGGCAAAGGCAAAAAACTGTGACCAAAAGTTACGACCAGCTGGTATAGGCCTACATATTCTTACCGATTTTGAATAATTCCCTTCGTGTATAAAATTATTATCAATCATGGCATCCGAGCTTGAATTGTCAAGTCAACGCATTACTGAGCTTGAGCCTGAGATCACTAAGATTAAGGCCAAGAAAGACGATACTAAGATGCTAGTCGTAATGTTGAGATTGCTGAGCTGAGACGGATTATAAGCTTAAAGCCAGGTAACATGATATTGATGAGTTTAAAAAGAATCAGCTAAGAAAATTCTTAACGAGGAACCTATGATCGAATATCGCCATCCTTTCTTGAATGGAGCTTGATGCTTTCTTCCAAAAACATCGAATTGATTGGAGGTGCAAGGGGCTCAGCATCGGTTTCATAGCACCAGCTGGTATGAAGATGCCAAAAAACTTGAGGATATCGTTAACTGTGATTGTCAAAAAAATGTGCATTTGTCTGGATAATGGAATCTTCCGTCTCGAAGTATGGTATGATCAAAACCCGGAAACTGTTATTCTGGAAAGGATACGAAAATTAAGGAATTTGTTAATCAAGCATCCAAAAGGTTCGATTTCCTATAATTAATAACTTATAATACACGTAAAATCACGTTTAAATTACAAATATCACAAAATTGGGATCCCGACCTTTGTATCTATTTTTTGCGTTATGCTATAGCTCTCCACCTAATATCTAGCCGACTTAAAAATTTGTTTGGGTATATCAAGTGGGTGTTTCATCATCAGATCGAACCGCGGGAATCATTGAAGCGGGTAAAAACAGAAAAATTGGATAGGAATTAGAATAGAAATGTAGTAGCGTCATGTACCAGGGTGAGTTACCTCTGGTAACCAACACATTTATATTTATTTTTTGCATGGTGTATGACGCTAGCATTGTATAAATAAAAATTTTTTCTTGCCAAAAAAAAAAAAAACCTGACAAATTTGTCACGAACCGACATAACTTAATTACCAGAATGTCATATCTTATATATACTAACGAACTTTTGAATATTTTACATTTGTATAAAAATTATCATCTATCATGTCATTCAAGCTTGGTTTAATGAAACTCTGCTTCTCCATCAGGTCGAAAAACCATATTTCGTACACCTATCAGGTAAAATTATAATAATTCGTAATCGTAGCTGCATATAAAAGGTTTTAAATTTATAATTAAATCGTTAAAATGCTGCTAAGTAACATTATAGATAATAAAAAATTTGCATCGTCTGTAAAAGTTTAATCCATCACATTTAATTTAAACTGAAAAACTATTGATGTTTTAATTCGTACGGCCGTTCAAAATTTGATCGTTATTAATTCTCTCAATTTTAACAAATAGATCTAATATTTTTACAGACAATGTATATTTTTATTATTTACAAGTCTACTTAGTAATATTTTGACAATCGCAAATTATTTTCGATTTTATATTATAGTGAATTCCGATGGATTATATATTTATATAAATCGAAAATAATTTGTGACATAGCAACATACAAAAGGTGAGAACTTATTATTTAAATCGTCAAAACGTTACTAATTAGGCTTGTAGATAATAAAAATTAACTCATTAAATTCCACGAACAAATATCACATAACAAATAAAAAAAATCAATTCATTTACAATGTACAGTAAATATGTATAATTGTTTTCATATGAAATAAAATAGTAAATTCATCCAAATGAAAAATTCGAGTTAACTTACCTAGTTGTTCTATAAAAAGTGAATAAAAATAATTAATAGTAAATAAGAGAAAATAAAAAATCAAGAGTTAATATGAAATCTACTTTACCATTAGTGGAATTTCTAGGTTTAATTGGAATGTTGAATGTAAATACTTTACTATTTTGTATTCTATATTCTGTATTTTTTCTTAATTGAGTATTAATTTTTGAGTTTATTCGATTAGATTGAATATTCTGTTCTTGTCATTTGTCCTCATCGTAAAATGCCAGAATTAATAATTTCATTTTCTGTTTATTGTAATTGCATGAGGTCTATTATCAGGATTAGCATCCCAACATTGTTTCATTAAAGCCGCATATTCGTGTGGAATGTATTCACAAATCTTTGGTCGATATCCTTTGACTATATCAAAAGTTAAATCCAGATTATGTTCACAGTCATCAAATGGAGTTTCACCAGTTATTACTTCCCACATTAATATACCCATACTATAAATATCTGATTTTTTTGTATAAATTTCACCACAGAAAACTTCGGGATCAATGTATGGGAGATTCCCATAAATACTATTTGATGGTTTTTTAACTGGCCCGCTCAATCCTAAATCACCAATATGCCGGGTAGTACCTAATAGAATATTTCCTGAGTGCAAATCACTATGTAACAATGTAAATGAATGATAATTATCTTTTAAAAAATGTCTTAAATCATTATTATAATAATTTAAAATTAACATATAATCTTGGTTGCTTGGATCTTTGGTTAGTCCATAATATTTTGCAAGATATTTAGAAGTATTATCAAGTGTGAAACTTAATGAAGCCTACCAATTTATTGTAATTATATAATTAATATTCTGAAATATCAAACAGAAATTAACAAAAGTAATAATAATAAGTCAACTTACTTCCGAAACCAATGTAAATTATTATTATTTGAGTTATTCAATCTTTTCAATTCAATCTTTTGTCTTCCAAACCTTTCCAATGTTTGTCTTTCGAAATCCCAATTAACGTAGCATCCATCTTTCCAAATTGCTGTATAAATGGTAGCACATCCTCCTTCTGTCAGATGTTTGATCTTCTTAAATTGATAGTATTCAATCCATTCAATTACACAATAAGGTGCTATAGTTTTTTGTTGACATTCTTGAATTAATTTATCAATTTTATTATTTTCAGATGTCCAATTTCCAAAATCATTTTCTAAATATTCACGAATACAAAATTCACAGTATTGGATCGCTTGATGCCAATTATGACAATTGTTGCATTAGCAACAATTCTTTTTCTATCATATGCACTCTAAATTTCATTAAGTAAAAAATTCTTTCCATTTTCAGTGAGATATAAATTATTTTTAATCAGATTTTTTCGATATTCTTCTTGCTCAGTAAGTGTTTTATGAATATTGGTGTCTAGAGAATGTTCTGATTTATTCCAAACAACTTTTAATTTCTCATTCCATTTGATTTTTTGAGTAGTCATTTCTTATTTCATTTAAAGTAAATGTATAAATAAGTAAAATATAATTTATTATATAAAATTATTTAAAAAATTAAAATATAATATAAATTACCGTGGATTATGTTTCAATAATAGATAATATATAAGGTTTATTATTTAAATTGACTTTAGTATGTGCACAGAAAATTATACTAGGCAAAATAATATCAATTTAAATTTGACGTATGAATTTAATATAATGAATGCGAGTAATAAGAAAACCAAATGATAATATAATTTTGTACAATGGAATAAAAACAATTGATAAAATGGACGGGACGCAAAAGAGATAAAAATTCACAGATTTTTTAAACAAGCAATTATTGTTAACAATATTGTCACATTCATTCAATTAAAAATACAAATTCCAAATAAAGAATGAATACAATTCTATAAATAAATTTTATTACGCCTAAGTCAGCAATTGGTTTGGTAAGTATAATAACTAATTTTATTATAAAATGATCGCCGAATCACTAACACATAAATATACTTTTTCAACTGAAGATTTAAGATTAAATAATAACCATTTCTTTATCAAGAGATTTTAACAATAATTTAGAAAGTAATCTAGTAGTTAGACCGTTTCTTTGTTATTCTCTAAATTATATTACGCTTAAAAAAATTCCCAGATGCCTTATTAACATATATAATAATGTTTATCTAAAAAAAAACTTATGTATTTAATTTTGATTTAGTATTTTTGATTTTATTTTTTGATTTATTTTTTTTTTTATTTTTTTATTTTTTTATTTTATTTTTTATTTTTTTTATACTTTGATTTTGAATTTTTATTTCGAAGGTACGAAAAAATTTCTAATTTTATTTCTTTAAATATTAAAGGAATTAATAACGGAATCGACCTAAAATCTTCATTTTTGTTTAATATCACGGTGATTTTTTTTAATGTTGGATTCCATATAATAAGATCTTTATTATTTGCTATTTTTTTTTTTACTTTATCCGAAAATAATTATATAAAATCGCCACTTATATTAATTTTATATATAATCCAATCATCTCCGAAAAAGGGAAAAATTGACTTTTATAGATTCGATTGAAGGAAATTTTTACTCTTTTGTTAATGATTGATTGCTTCTAAAATTTATTTACTAATAACGATCAATTATTAAATCGCCTAAAAAATTACATTTTTAGACAATTTAGTAAATATAGTTATTGAATCGTCTATTTTTAGGCGATTCTAAAAAATATTATTTTTAGTCGATTAATTATAAATTCGTCTAAAAAATATCATTTTTAAGACGATTTAATATAATTGTTTAAATCGTCTTTAGGTGATATAATAATTAATCTATAAATCGTCTAGAAATAATATTTTTTAGGCAATTTCATAATTAATCGCCTAAAGATAATAATTTTTTAGACGGCTTATAGACGAATAGTTATTAACTCGCCTAAAAATATTATTTTTGGACGATTCGGTAATAATATTTATTAAATCGTTTAAGAATAATATTTTTAGGCGATTTTAATAATTATTCGTCTATAAATTCTATAAATCGTCTAAAAAATATTATTATTGAATAATCTAAAAATAATATTTTAGGCGACTTCATAATTAATCTTCTATAAATCGCCTAAAAATATTTTTTAGTTGATTTCATAATAACTCGCTTAAAGATAATATTTTTAGAAGATACTAGTCTAAAAATTTAGACGATTTAATAGATATAAATATTGAATCGTTCTAATATTTTTAGACGATTTATCGTCTAAAAAATATTATCTTTGGGCGATTTATTATGAAATCATCTAAAAAAAGATTAATTATGAAGTCGCCTAACAATATTATTTTTAGACGATTTCATAATTAATCACATAAAGGTGATTTTTTTAGGTAACTTCAAAATTAATCTTTTATAAATTGTCTAAAAATGATAATTTTTAGATGGTTTCATAATAAATCACCTAAAGACAATATTTTTAGACGATATTAGGCTAAAAATTAAATTTTTAACATTTTTATACGATTTTTAGACAATTTAATAAGAATATTTATTAAATCATCTAAAAATATTATTTTTTTAGGCGATTTAATAGTTAATAATCTATAAATTGTTTCGTCTAAAAATATTATTTTTTTAACGAGTTCATAATTAATCACCTAAAAACGATATTTTTTAGACGATTAATTATGAAAAATGTTATTTTAGACGATCACGATTTATGATTACTAGCGTAGGGTCCGTGCCTCCGGCACGGGGATTTTTTGTTATTTATTTTTCTACTTTTTCTTTTTTACTATTTTTATTATTGTTTTTATCGTATTTACATATGAATCTATCTGTTTGACTTTGAGTTTTTGATTTTGCTATTTGATTTTGCATTAGATGGTGTCCGTTTCTAATTTTGCATTTTGAGGTGAGATCAGTTAGATGTATGTAGTTATGACATTTACTAAGTGCGTAACTGTAATGTGTTTAATAAATACGGGAGAATATTAAAATAATAATTAATAATGGTACTGTATTTCATTTTTATCATTTTTACTTAAATAAACAGAATTCGTATATATGTTGTGCCTCAGATCGACTTTTTGCGCAGATCACTACTGAGGTACGTCAGGTGTCA